CCCCAAAACCCCAAAACCCCAAAACCCCAGAGAGGGAGATAGAGGTTGAAAATAGTTAAGAAGACTTCTTCTTACGTCCACCGGTCTGGGAGTTGTTCCGTTTCTCTAGCTTTGAGGGCTTGCCTGTGGATCCAGCTGCGTCGTTATATGATTTCCTTGCGTCAGAGTCTTCTGGGTTAATAATTACTGATTTGTCCTTCTTTTTATCAAAGGATAAATCAAGTATTGTCGGATTGCTCAGATTCATGCTGTTGTTAATTTTTACCTATGACTTAGGACTCAGAATCTACTTTAGAAATTTTATCTGGCTTTGTTGCCTTGATACTCCTGATTCTTTCCTTAATCTGGTCTTTCATAATCACTGCATTCTTGCTTATATTTACTTTCTGATTCACGATTTCATTAATCTTTTCCTTTATTGCGGACTATGGGAAATAATTAGACTAGACATACACTTTTGGACCTTTCTTGCTCTATTTTCTCTATCTGTTTATATCTTGTGTAGGCTTTCTTTCTTTCAAGCCTCTTGGCTTCCTCGAGTCGCTCTCTCTTCTTAATCGCTTCAAGTTCTATAGATATTTTCTTCTCTTTTTCCTTTTGAAGCTTGAGGTCTCTTGATCTTTGATCTTCTTTGTTTAATTTTTCTTGAAGGCCATTCTTCTTTAGCTCAGATTCTTCAAGAATTCTTTGTTTATTTAATATCGCGTTCCATTCTTTTCATCTCTTCATAATCTTCTCGTTCTTTTTGACGAAGCTTGACTTTTTCTTTGTGCTTCAGAAGTCTTTCCTCAAACTTGCGCTCTTTCTCTTTAAACTCTTCCAATTTAAGTCTGAGGTGTTCATCATTAGCTTCCTTGGCTTGACGAATCTCCTGATCTTTATTAGCTTTCTTACGTATCATTGATTTCTCTTTCTCAATTTGTTTTTTCTTGATCTTTTTATATTTGTCGGAAAGAATCATCTGGTTGCGTTCCCACATGAGCTGTTTCTCGAATTCCTTCCGCTGGACATTCTGCAAGGCAACTTCATACTTCTGCCGATGCTCTTGTCTGATCTTCTCAGCACGTTCTTTACTTCATTATATCTATCTGTCGGTTCTTCTCTTCTAGTAGTGAGAGTTTATTTTTCTACTTCTTTCCTTCGATAAGTCTCTGCTTCTTGGCGCTCTTTAATAAGTTTGTCGATTTGCTCTCTAATCCTACGCTCACGGTCGAGTTGGACCTTCTCGTTGTGTATCTCTTGTTGCCGTTTCTCAAGTGCTTGTCTCTCTAGTCTTGCTATTTTCTCTTGCTCTTTATTTTATATTTTCCTCTCTGATCTTCTGAAGGGTAAGTTCTTTATTCTTTTGTTTCTCAAATAATTCCTGAGCTCTTATTCTAGCTATTTTGTCACGGAACTTGTTCTCTTTATTTCAATTTGAGCTCCTTTTCACGCTCAATTTCGAGACGTTTTTGGTAAAGCAGCTCTTCCTTAGCAGCCTGGTCTTCTTCTTTTTGGATTATTTTCTTGATGTAGCCATCGATCATGCTCTTTTTAGCCTTCTTAAGATGGCTTAGTCTTCTCTTATCATTCTGGTATTGGACCTCAATTGCAAGCTTCCTGTCTGGAGAATCTGCGAGAAAAGAGACGCTTTTCCCATGCCCATTTCTATTTTTAGCAACCGATCTTGAAGGGTATGGGTTTACAGCCTTAGAGGAGCCTGGCTTTAATTTATCACTTTTCTTCTTAGCTGATTTGGGTTCTTCTTGGACTACCTCATCAGCTTCGATCATAGTCTGGCGTTCTTGTAAGACATTTTGAACTTTCTCTTGTCTCTTGGCCTCCATTCTTTCCCATCTGAGCTTTATAATATCATCTGTGACCTTTAAGTCAACAATAGTGTCTTTAAATTTTGGAAAAGATTGGAATTTAAGTTCTTTTATGAGATATCCCTGTCGTTTGGCAGCTTCGATGGTTCTAGGACTCTTGAGGTTGATCTCCTGAGTACTTCCAGATTGTTGCTCTCCTCCCTCCTTGTTTTTCCCCATATTAATTTTATTTAGAATTTATTATCGTGAATTGCAACTTTTTGCTATTGTATGGGGTTTTGGGGTTTTGGGGTTTTGGGGTTTTGGGGTTTTGGGGTTTTGGGG